CTTTCCATATTCCATGCACTCACATTGGTGGAGGTGAGGGGCATCTTCGATTGTCCCTAGGGAGTGCTTGGATTTAGGATTTCAGTTTAGATCTAGCTTTTGCATCGTCTAGATCTAGCTTTTTCCATTTCCTTTTTTTTGTTCTTTCCTTTCAGGATTTTGGTTTAAATCTAGCTTTTTGCATTGTCTAGATCTACCATTTCTTTCCAGCTTTTTTGTCATTTCTCTTCTTTTACTTTCGTCTTTTTCGTTCATCTTCATGGCCGATCCGCAATCTCCTCCTTTGACTCTAGAGCAGCAGTTGGTTCAATTGCTTGATGCTATGTGCTTGCAATTAAACAACCAAACTCAGTTGATGGTGGCGTTCACGGCACGTGGTACAACTCCTCTTGCTCTTGGTGCCAATCCTCGCGTTCGGCCAGAGTTCTTTCGCAAGAATTCTAGGGATGATGTGTACCATTGGTTCGATCACTTTACGGTGATTGCCACATATCATTCTTGGGATGATGCTCGACGATTGCGTGAGTTTCCCACGTGTCTCCAAGGGACAGCGTTGCAGTGGTACAATGGTTTGAGCGCAGCTACTCGTGGGGATTGGAGTGTTCTCCCAGACATCTTCAAATGCGCCTTCGGACATGCCGATGATTGTGATGATGCTTTCCAACAATTGCATCGTCTTCGCCAAGGGCCATTTGAGTTGGTGATGCAATTTGGTGTTCGTTTCCAAAGTCTTTTGCTTCGTGCGAAGCTAAATATGTCGGAGCGGATCAAGCTAGGAATGTTGTGGCCAGCACTTCGTCAAGATCTTGTTGGACTTGTGCATGCACTTGCTCCTACCACCCTTGATGATGCTCTTCACTTGGCACAACGTTATGAGACGTTGCCTCTTCTACTTCTCGCTGCACGTCCTTCCGCTCCACTTCATATGGGTGATGGTCCTGTTCCAATGGAGGTTGATGCTGCTGCTGCTCGAGTCCAAGGACAAGCGTGAGGACGTGGTCGTGGCCGTGATGTTCGTTGTTGGGCGTGTGATAAAGTTGGTCATACTTATCGGCGTTGCCGTCGTTTTCCGGATTGGCGACCTCCATTTCCTGGGTGGAGACCTTGGCATCAGCAACGTCCCCTGGGTGCTGCTGCAGTGGAAGGTCTGGACACCGAGATGCATCCGGGAAACGAGGAGTCGCGTGAGTAACGGAGGGACCTTGCATGAATAAATCAGTGACCCCTCCATCTTTCTTTCAAGAGTATCATCAAGGGGTTCACTCGGCATCAGTTCATCCAGTGTTTACTTTCCAAACTCGTTTTTATAACAAGAGGTCTCCTATTATTCTCTCCGTGTTAGTTGATACAAGTTGGAGTTTATCTTCTATTGCTCGACTTGTTGCCACACGTTGTCGTCTACACTTGCGTTGTGCGGCGGAACCAGTTTTCATTCTTTATGGCAACGGCCGTACACATGCATGTGCACGGGATGAGGTGGACCTGGTTGTGCGTGTGGGCGATCTCAAGCTTGAGTTGCAGTTATTGCGGGTGGTGCCGAGTCAAGCTTTTGACCTCATTCTTGGTATGGATTGGTTGCAGCGCAATCATGCCCAGTGTGACTTTGAGGCTTCTCCCCCTTGTCTCATACTTCCTTATGTTTCATCCATTCCTCTCACTTCCATACTTCTTCGTCCCTCTACTTCTACCTCTGCTTCCATTACTTTTGTTCCCCCACTCTTTCCTTCTGTGTTTCCTTCTTGTTCTGCTTTTCCCTTTTCCGATCCCTCCGACGATCTTTGTGTTGCAGCAGTTGACCGGCTCATGAAGGAGTATTCTGATCTTTTTGAATTTGACCTATCGTCTGGGGCCAGGATTGCCACACGTCATCCGATTCCAACCGGGGATGCTCGTCTAATCAAGGTTCTTGTTCGTCGTCGATCACCTAAGGAGATCAAGATTTTATGAGCAAACGTCAAGGAAATGCTGGAAAAGGGTGTTATTCGGAAGTCACGGAGTCCTTGGGTATGTGAACCTCATCTTGTGACGAAGCCTGATGGGAGTATTCGTTTCTGCATTGACTATCGTCCGTTAAACGAAGTGACGATCCCAGATGTGTATCCTCTTCCTCACACTGCTGATCTCTTGGATTGTTTGGGGCGAAGTCGTTGGTTCACCAAGCTAGATCTTGCTTCTGGGTATTGGCAAGTACCGATGGCCGAAGAAGATATTCCTAAGACTGCTTTTCGTACACCATTTGGTTTGTACGAGTTCTTGGTGATGCCGTTTGGTTTGAACAATGCTCCAGCAACTTTCCAGCGGATGATGGACGAGGTTCTTTGCGATATGCCGGAGGTGACTACTGACTTCATTGATGATGTCTTGATCCACTCGGAGGGGACGTGGGAGAAACACGTTCGTGATGTTTGTAAAGTGTTGGATCGGCTACGCAATGTTGGTTTAAAGCTGAAGCGGTTGAAGTGCGTGTTTGGGTCCAAGGACACAACTTATCTTGGGAACCGTATTTCTCATGAGGGTTTGCAAGTTGATCCTGACAAACTTGTGGCTGTTCTGAAGTTCCCTACTCCGAAGTGTGTGAATGATGTGCAGCGCTTTTTGGGTAAGGTGCAGTATTTCGGTCGTTTTGTGGATCATCTTTCCGATCGCACTACACCATTGCAAGCGTTGCTGAAGTCATCAACGTCATTTTTCATCTTGTCTCCGAATTGTGAGCGGGCGTTCGTGGATCTCAAAGAGCTATTGACGACTCCTCCGGTTTTGGCATATCTTGACTACACTCGACCTTTTATTTTGCGCGTGGATGCTTCTGACATAGGTCTTGGAGGTGTGTTGATGCAAGAGAGCTCGAGTGTGCCTGATCAGCGCCATCCCATTGCATACATAAGCCGTACATTACAACCAGCGGAGATGAACTACTCTACGATGGAGAAGGAGTGTTTAGCAGCAGTCTGGGGTTTCAAAATACTTCATGCATATCTACATGGTTCTCAGATGTTACTTGAAGGTGACCATGCTGCTGTTACTTCATTATTGAAGCAGAAGAACCTGGTTGGTCGTACGGCTCAATGGGCTTTGAAGCTTCAGATATATGATTTCGATGTTGTTCATCGCCCAGGGAGTTCTATGGCTGATGCTGATGTTTTTTCTCGAGCTCCTCTTCCTTCTCCACTCACTTCTCATGTTTCTGACGAACCTGTTGTTCCAGCATCTGTGGATTTTCTAGATAAGGATTCTGTGCCGTCGGCGGTTGCTGTCCTTGACGTTCAGTGTCCATAGGGTGCAGAGCAAGATCTACCTTCTCTTGATGAGGTTCGCAAGGCTCAAAAGATTGAGCCGTGGATTTGAAGGCTTCGAGATGGGTTTGAGAATCCTACATCACTTGCTGATGACTTGCCTTTCCGGCATTTACATTCTCAATATCGCCTTGAAGATGGCCTTCTTTATTTTGTGGGGACGGATCTTGATGATCATTTACGGCTAGTGGTGCCTTCGGTGTTTATTCTGCGGTTTCTCCATGCCTACCATGATTCTCCTGTTCTAGGTGGGCATATGGGACACCGTCGTGTCACCGAGAAGTTGCGCGAGTCTTTCTATTGGCCGGAGATGCGACGTGATATTATTCGGTATGTGCGTAACTGCGTTTGGTGCCAAGCTCGTAATACTCCCCCTTGTGTTGCGGAAGGACGGTTGGAGTCAATTGCAATTTCCCGTCCGTTTGAGTTGGTGGCGTTTGATCTTATGGGACCTTTTCCACGATCGACTGCTGGCAATGAGTATGTTATTATTGCTTCTGACTACTTGACTCGTTGGGTGGAAGTTGGTGCTCTTGCTAGCGCCTTTGCAACTGCTGTTAGATACTTCCTCCTCAATCGAGTGGTGTTCTAGCATTCTTGTCCAGAGCAGATTCTTTCAAATAATGGTCTTGCATTTATGGCTGAGGTATTTCATGTTTTGACATCTCGGTTGGGGATACGCCACACTTTTACGAGTGCTTATCATCCTCAATCAGACAGTCTGGTGGAACGGCTCGTTTGGACATTCAAAAGGATGATTGCGAAGTATGTGAACTTTCAGCATTCAGATTGGGATGGTTATTTGCCGTCTCTTCGGTATGCTTATGTCACAGGGGTGCAGAATTCTGTTGGTGCTTCACCATATAAACTTCTATATGGTTATGATCCAATATTACCAACAGAGCTGGGTTTACCTTCGCGATTGCCACGAGCTCCCGATGCTAGGTCATGGGATCAATATTTGACAAACATTCTTCCACTTGTCTGAGCAGAGTCTGCCGAACACTTAGGCCGCGTACAAGTGGGACAACAACGGCGCTACAACTCCCATCATCGTCCATCTGCGGAGTACAAAGTGAATGATTTGGTGCTAGTCCGTTTTCCCCATCTTATGGTACGTGGTTTATCTAAGGGGCTCCTTGCACAGTGGAAAGGACCGTATCGGGTGTTGTGGCAAGTTGGACCACAAGTTTATGAGGTTCGGCATGATGTTCAGCAGGCTGATCCTCCAGAGATTGTGCATGTGCAGCGGTTAAAACGCTTCATACAAAGGGATCAGGAGCAATTAATACCGTCTACAGATCTGCCGATGCCTCCTCCTGACGTTCCTCTAGATCCCGGCCCATCTACAAGAGAACCCTGATGGCCTTCTATTATTCCGAGAGGAGGGAATGATGTGAGGGCCAAGTGTACGGCTACGATGCCGTATACTAATATTAGCGTAGTGGGATTTTGGTAGCCATCGGATTAGTTTCAATCCGGACCACTCGCTCTTGTATATAAACTAAAGGTTTTGGGCTAATTGATATGCACATTTCTGTATTCCCTTTCCATATTCCATGCACTCACAATTTTAAATTGTAAAAACTATTAAAACACTTTTCTGTATTTTAATTAAATCATTTTGAATGCCATGCCTAAAAGGGGCTAAAGCCCCACAACTGGATCAATTAAAAAATGCTACAACTGGATACACTTGAATCTAGGTAGCTTAGTAGGTTTTGACTTCAAAGAATAACCTTTGCAAATATATAAAAGTAAACCTTCAATATATAAAAGTGCAATCACCTAGTTCGAAAAGTGAGACCAGAGAGGTCTTCCCTTGGGACCACCATCCCATTAGAATCTGGCTGAGGACTCTTGCCTCCCTCATTGGGAGGGACGATGTACGTTGGCTTAGTCTCTGTCCGAAATGCCAAGTAGCAAAGGGTGACAAGGTATGCCAAGATGGCCTTGAATACCAGCACGCCAATCACAACACGCCCTGCCTTGGCAAGGTGGCCATGGATGAGCCATTTGACGAAGGACGTTATCAAGAAGTACATGTTGATGGTAATCACCCCCATGCCAATCAACCATGTCAACACTGTGAGCTGCACGCACACAAAATTCTTTTAGAAATATTCCACAAACACATTGTGTTACCCATAGTGAGTTCATGTGAGGACCCATTTTCATGGAGCTGCTGGTGAATTTCAGAAGAGGCACAAGAGCAAATGGAAGCTGGAACGCCAGAATCATCTGAGAATGTAAGATATCAGATCAAGAGAATCGATCGAGACACACTAACCGATGATACAATGATAAGTTTTCCAGCTCCCCTGGAACCACTGATCAATGCCACTGCAAGGCTTGGAATTATAGCAACCAGCCTCGTTAGCAAATTCCGGATCCATGGTTTCAAGCGCAAGTCAAGGAATCCCTGAGGTCCACAAAGTCTTATTGTGATGAGTTGTCAAGAAACTAGTAGTGGTACCTGCATCACGTACTGGCCAGCAAAAGTCCCAGTTATCGTCGAACTCTGGCCAGACGCTAAAAGCGCCACGCCGAACACCACTGAGCTCCATTGGCCAAGAACGTTCTGAGAAAAAGAAAAGAAGGGATTAACGTTTAAGAATCGAAACAATGATCTCAAACAATACTCTTAGCAAGAAGGAGGCCCTGTTGAGGTCCAAATCCCCACAGTCGTCTTTGTAGACGGATGACAAGTGGCGGTTGTTACAAACCGAAGCACTTACACAAATTACTGCTATGTTGATGAGGAAGGCGAGAAACAAGGCAAAGCCACTCTCCATTATGTAGTACCGACATCCATCCTGCCAAAATACAAAGAAAACTCCCACATCTTCAGTTATGTAGGCATCAGACATACCTTGATTCCATTCGTTGAGTATGGGATTTTTCGAGTCAAGACGATCGCTGAGTGAAGGAAGAGATTATGCCTGGCAAGAATAAAAAGCCATTAGAGAAGTAGGAAGAAGGCAAAGACAGAAGAAACTCACGGCATAACCATAGCACCAAGCAAGGAAATTGCAATTCCTGTTGCTCCATGCCCATTCAATCGAGGAACAAACAAGCCTTTTAGGACTTCGCCTGCGTCGGGCTTGGCATATCCAAGCTCCACAAAGAAACATCCAGCCATGATGAACACGAACAGCGCCACCACCAGCTCGAGTTTCCGAACCTGTGTGGTTGAGAAACAAGCTTGCAATGGCTTCAAGTATCACATCTTCGAAAGTTTTACCCCATACTGTTGTATTGCAAGCAAAATGAGAGTGCTGAATCCTGTTAGAAGAACTCCAATCCACACTGGAAGCCTGAACAGGATGTTCAACGCAAATGCCGTCCCTATGACTGAAAGGAAAAAGGAGCGCAGAGGAGTCAGTACATTTTGCTCGAAACAACGCCCTCCAACCTTCAGGAATGTCACTGGCTATGATGCACACTTCAGCAAGGATCCACAGCACGAAGTTCAACGGTCGTGCATATTCTATCCGGCAGTGCTCTGCCAAGTGCTTCCCTGGAAAAAGCAAGGCAAACGCCGAGTCAGCTCTCTATCGAGCACCGAAACATGAGCAAACTTGCGTGTGACAACTCCCAAGTTGGCTGCCAGAGACTGAATGATCAACGCTGAAATCGATGCGATAAGCAGGACCCAAAGCAGCTGCACAGTTCAAAAGCGTTAAGACTTCACACACTTCGTCCACGCAACGACCGGAGCTCTCAAAAGAAAGGAGACCTCAAGTAGACCTCATATTTAAAGTTTGCTCCCGATTGAAGGTCACTCTCGACTGCACACCACAAGTTAGAATTTTTGAAGGTAAGAGTGGATGTTGTTGGGACTTACAGTTCGCCGGATCGATGTAAGCAATGCAGACGAGATAGCCAGGCCCGACATAAGCCGCAAGCTTCCTCCAGCCCTTCCTCTGGAAACATGCCAAGCACAACGAGCTATTTACCACAAGGAATAAGAAGATAAAATCTACATACCTCAGGAACAGGAACTTGGCCCCTCGTTGGCTCGTCGATGCCAACTTCCCATTCGGACGCTGCCGCTGGTGTTCCTGCCGCTGCCATGGAATTCCCGAGCGACAAGAACCTCGTTGTCCAGCCGAGGAAGAAGAAGAACAACAACACAACTTGTGCCTCAGGGAGCGCATTTTTATTCTGGCAAGCTCTAGACCGTAAAATAATGTAGCGGGTGTCCCATGACACGACCCTTTCGCAGTTAGTGGCAGATCCCTCTGTTGCCACGACAAACAAACAAACAAGAAATCAATCAAATCCCCTCACAAAATCAATTAGACTTTGCTGCGAAGATTGCTGCCAATCAATCCATCCAAAAGATAATCCCACTGCTCGCCCTCAGGTGCTTGCTACAATCAGCGCGCCTAAGAATCGATCACGCATTCACGATTGATGCGATCGATCGATAGCGCATGAGCGTGGTCCCCTGTCTCCAGAGAAATAAGAACCCTAAAAAAGTATGAGAGACTTGTCATACTGAAATATTCTCCTCGTACGGTAGCCATCTTTTTCTTCTAGCATAGTGGGTTAGACGAGACAAGCAAAGTACATGCACTCAGCTGACCAACACTGTGGTCTCACAGCAGAGTGGAGGAGAGAATATTTCGCAAGCAAATTCGCGGAATATCCTTTCCTTGTGACCGTTGCCTGACTGACGGCGGCGTTCACGTCCATGGGACACCGGACGTTACACTGGGCAAATGCGATTCGAGAGGCGCGGGAGTTGGACGACGCGCGGGCGATCCACTGCAGTATCCCCCCGGCTGACCAGAGCCTCTATCTTGGAAATCTTATCGTCCAGATGTATGGGCGCTGCGGCAGCCCAGACGAGGCTCGCGCGATGTTTGATTCCATGTCCGCGCACAATCTTTTCTCGTGGTCTCTTATGCTTACTGTGTATTCCGATCAAGGGAATGCCCACGGCGCCAAGAACGTCTTTGACAGTGCGCTCGAGAGGAACATAGTAACGTGGACTGTGATGCTAGCTGCATATACCAACATCGGGCATTTTGAAGAGGCGAAGAATGTGTTTGCCGTGATGCCCGAGTGGAACGTATTTTCATGGAACACACTCCTAAAAGCTTTTATACTTAACGGAGAGTTTGATCAAGCCAAGAAGATGTTTGAATGTCACCCAAACCGCGATGTCGTCTCTTGGTCTTTGATGATCCAAGCGTTTACCGACGGAAGGCATCTTGATGTTGTCAAATCTCTCTTTGATGCTATGCCGGGATGGGATGTGGTGGCCTACAACGGCGTGATCGCGTGCTATGGAGTCAATGGTCACATAGAAGCGGCGATGTCGGTGTTTGATTCAATGCCGGAGAGGAGTGTTCTCTCATGGAATGCCGCGATGGCAGCGTTCTCCCAGCTTGGCAAACAATCGCTTGGGAGCGTGAGGGATCTATTCCATGCGGCCCCGGAGAAAACAATCGTCACCTACAACTCGCTGCTCCAAGCCTGTGCGGCAGCCCTAGAGATAGAGCACACAAAAAATCTCTTTGACAAGATGCCCGAGTGGGACATTGTCTCATGGAACATACTTCTTGCCGCATTTGCCGAAAACAAGCAACTTGATCTTGTGAAGGATTGCTTTCGCAGAATGCCCGAATCGGATATAGTGTCCTGGTATTTGATGCTCACGACGCTTGCGCAGAGCGATCGCGTGGAGGAATGCAAGGAATTCTTCGACAAGATGCCGGAGTGGCATCTTGGGTGTTGGAGCTCTCTTTTGAGCGCGCTTGCCCGGGCAAGGCAAGATGAAGCCACGATCACGGTGTTTCATTCGATGCCTCGCCACGATCTCGCGAGCTTTACGACGATGATCGCGCTCCACAACTGGGAATCCGCGAGAATTCTTTTCGACGCGATGCCGGAGAGGGATACCGTGGCTTGGAACGCGATGATGAGCGCTTACGCCAGGAGCTCTCTGTTCCAGCACGCGATGGAGATGTTCTACAGCAATCCCGAGAGAAATCTCGAGTCGTGGAATGTGTTTCTCGCAATCCAGGCGCGCAGCGGCGACCTGATGCGCGCGAGGAGGACATTCGATCGGATGGAGCAGCGCGATTCCATTTCGTGGAGCACCGTGATCGAGGGTTTTGCGCAACACGGCGAGGGCGCGGACGCGGCCATGGAGCTCTTATCGGCGATGAAGATGGAGGGCGAGAGGATCTGCGAGGTGATCGTGACGAGCGCTCTATCGTCGTGCATCCACCAGGGTCTGCTGGCCCGAGCGTGGCAAATCTTTACCGGAATGAGCACGGATTTTGGGCTGTGCCCCGTGAAAGATCACTACTGCTCCATGGTCGCGATCCTAGGTCGCGCTGGAAAACTGGCCGAGGCCGAGGAGCTCACGAAATCGATGCCATTCGAGCCAGATTTTGCGGCCTGGGGCGCGCTTGTGGCGTCGGTCGATCAGAATCGTGCGAGATCAGGAATGCTGCTGCTCGGTTCCACCGCTGCCTGTGATGCCGGATCGCATGCGTTGCTCGCAAACACGATCATAAGATAGGGGTCCATGGTCCTTGTTCTTGAGCTCGAAATATCCATCTTCCAGCCAAGGGCAAGCGAAAGATCTCTCGAATTCTTCGCTGCGGGGCTGAAATCTTGTGGAAATGCGAGCGATCTGCCTGCCGCAAGGGAGATCCATGCCCAGATCGCCCGTAGCGAGCATCGCCACAGCCGCTACCTCGCGAATCTGGCGATGGAAATGTATGGCAAATGTGGGCGACCCGACGAAGCACGGATTGTTCTTGAGAGCATCCTCGAGCCAAACGTTTTTTCGTGGACAATCATGCTCAATGCTTACGCCCATAACGGATTGATCGATGAGACCAAGTGGTTCTTCGATCAAATGCCCGAAAGAAACATCGTGGCCTGGTCTGCCATGATCAAAGCCTTTGCCTCAATAGGGCATGTTTGCGACGCTCAATTGGTGTTTGATCGAATGCCTGGATGGAATGTGATTACCTGGAATGTGATGATCGCTGCGTACGTAGATCATGGACACTTCCAAAAATCAAAAGAACTCTTTGATTCAATGCTGGAGCGTGATCTTGTCTCGTGGCTCAAGATGCTCCAAGCATTTGCCTTCTGTGGGGAAATTAATCGCGCGAAGGAGATTTTTGATAGAATGCCCGAGCACAGCGTAGAATCAGCAACCGCAATGCTGGTTGCAAGTTCCCAGGGCGGTGATCTAGTCGCTTCCAAGAAACTCTTTGATTCCATTCCAAATCCATCCCTGGTTTCTTGGAACTCAATGATCGCCGCATTTGCCAGCGGCGGCAAATCCACCATAGCCAAGCTCATGTTTGATACTCTTCCACAGAGAAACATAGCCTCGTGGAATATACTCCTCCACGAGCACTCTCACGGTGGGAATCTCCACGAAACTCATCGCTTCTTCGGTGAGATGCCAGAGTGGGACGTGATGAGCTGGAATTCGCTGATTCGCGCCTATGGCATCCATGGAATCTCCCGCGAGGCAAAGCTCCGGTTCGATTCCATGCCCGCGAGGGATCCAATGACGTGGGCTCTACTGATGCAGGTATATGCCCAGGACGGGAACATTCTGCTAGCCAAGGCTCTGTTTGAGAATATGCCAGAGCACACGGTGGCGGCGTGGAACGCGCTGCTAACGGTATATACCCGAAATGGGAATCTCGAGCGAGCCAAGGAGGTGTTTGAGAGAATGCCCGAGAGAGATACGGTGGCTGGGAACGAGATGATCGCGGCATTGTCTCGCAATGGGGAGCTCCGAGCAGCACTCGATCTCTTCAATCGGATGGAGCACTGGCGAGACATTGTGTCGTGGAATTCGATCCTGGCGGGATTGATCCACGCGGGGCAGATCCAAGACGCGGAGCTCCTGTTCGCGCAGATGCCTCGCTGCGACGTTGTGACATGCAACACGATGATCGCCGCGAGCTCCCGGCTGGCGGATTCGGCCAAGATCTTCGAGGCGATGCTGGAGAGGGACGTGATCTCCTGGACCGCAATGCTGGGCGCCCTCGGGAGGGGCGATCGCCTGGAGGAAGCCAAGCTCCTGTTCGATCGGAGAATGCCCGAGTGGAGCCTCGTGTCGTGGAACGAGCTCCTGGCGGCCTTCTCGCGCTCCAGCGGCACGATCGAAATCGCCGCTTCCATCTTCGCGCGCATGCCCGAGAGGGACACCATCTCCTGGAATTCCCTCATCACGGCCTACGTCCGGAGCGGCGACTTCAGCAGCGCCAAGAACGCATTCGATCGAGTCCCAGCGCCCGACGTCGTCTCGTGCAACGCGATGATCGCCGGATTCGTGGAGAATGGACACTTCGTCCAGGCGGAGATGATGTACGGCTCCATGAGCCAGCGCGACAGGGTGACACACAACACCATGATCGCGCTCTACGCACGGAACGGGGATATGCCAACCGCGAGGAGGATATTCGATGGTATGCCCGAGCGGGACATGGCGTGCTGGGCGGGCGTGATCTCGGGGTATGCCCAGGCCGGGCATCCCCGCGACGCGATCGATCTCTTCCGGGCGATGGAGATGGAAGGCCTGGCACCCAACGAATTCCTCTTCACGGACATCTTGAGCGCTTGCAACCACACGGGACTGGTCCGTGAGAGCTGGCGCTACTTTGCGCTCATGGCCAGGGAGCACGCGATTCCTCCCTCGATCCAGCACTTTTGCCTGATGATCGATGCGCTGGGACGATCCGGGAGGCTGGACGAAGCCCAGGATGTGATCCAGGCGATGCCGTTTTTCCCCGATGGAGTTGCGCTAAACACTTACCTTGGGTCGTGTAAGATCCACCACGATTCACAGGGAGCCGCGAGCATAGCCCGGCAAGCGATTATAGGAGGAAGATTAGCGGGAAAGAATGTAGAAGAAACCATAGCCGCGCCTCATGTTCTATTGTCAAACATTTATATGGCGATCAAGTGAAAGATCTCAGGTGAAAAAATGTTACTGTCAAGTCAATCATAGAGGTTTACCAATGTCTGTGAGATCGTAGACAACCTTGGAAGAATAGAAAACCTTGCTAGAAAATCTAGGACACAGTTGATTACATTAGAAACAAAGCAAAAGATAATACAAATTAATCTATGTTGCTTGCATTGACCACCTTCTTCACAATAAAAGCCTGTCCGGCAGGTTTGAATGATGAAAGAGAGGATATTCCCTCGCACATAACACACAGCACGGAGAGATGTCTTTCTTCTTCCTTCCAGGTGTGAAGGAGGAAGGGATCCTTTTTTCTTTTCAGCTATGGAGGAGTAGGAAGCAGCAAAAGAAGTGTAAAAGACTTGGTGGCTAGAACACAGAGAGGACTCACCTAGAGAAGAGCGACGGCCTCCTCGGGTGGAGCGGGAGAGCTGCTAGTTTTGGTCGCGGCGCCGGCGGCCAGAGGAGTGGCAATGCTCCATACGAATCCATACGGATCCACAACCTTGCCATACCTCTGGCCCCAAGGCTGATCGCTCACTTCCTCGCTCACTTTGGCTCCAGCCTCAATCGCCCTCTTGATCGCCGCCTCCGCATTGTTAGTCTGGAGGTGGAGGATCGCAGTGGTGGCCTCCACGCTGCTTGGGGGCTTCACGCTGATCGAAAGAGCGCCAGTTAGAAGAAGAAAAAAGGGGGGGAAAGAACTAGAACCGAGGAGGAAGAGGAAACTTACTTTGGGCCAGCGTCCGCGGTATCGTCGCACACCATAATCTCCGCGGCCCCAAACTTGAGATGGGCGTGGAGGATGAGGGGAACGTCCTGGTCGGCCTTGCGCTTGGGATGGTGCGATTTCGCGACCTCCTCGGCACCAAAGGCCTTCTTGTAGAACTCGATGGCGTCGCTGGCGTGCGGCGCCTGAACGAAGAGATGGGGCAGGAGCTGCTCGTACACGATCTCACCGTGGCCGCTCCCGCCGTTGACTGCCTGCGCCTCCACGGCCATGCCAATCGTAGCGTCCGCCATCGCCGCCCTAGGAGCTAGCTCTCTCCCCTCGCAAAAAACCCTCGCCTTCTTAGCGCTCGCCTCGCGCAAAGAAAGAAAGAAGGAAGACGCGAAAAAATGGAAAATGTGGTGAAATAAAAGGGAGCTATTATCAAACGGCTGTTTCTTTTGCGCCTTGTGGCCACAGCAGATGTAGCGGCTCACAGTAATCAGCGTCCACCACGTGGACGACCTTCCCGTTTGGAACGTGTTTACCGCGCGTGAGACACCGACGGCCGCGATTGCGCCACCGTGTCAGTGGAAGGACTGCCACGTGTTTGCTCCGGAGCGCTTGCCATCCGACGGCTGGCAGCCTGGCTCTTCTTCTTTGTATCTTTCACTGGAGCATGCCACTGCAGCTCCACCCTGGGAACTCGGACGATTTTAACTGTTCGTATGCGTCTGCCAGCTCTTGTTCTTGGCAGTGGAGCTCTTCTCGGTGGAAATTTTGCTGCTCAATCTTAAGGTGGCGATCGCGATCATCCTGCCATTTGGATTCCATCCATCAGAGTCAGTGAAGGAAAAGAGAGAGACAAATGGTTTTAAAGTACCCTGCGAGCTTTTGTGGCTTTGGATTTGACGGGTGCGGCGGCGGTTGTGAGATGCTGTAGCTCTTGACGAAATGCCTCATTGTCAATGCACAGCTGATTCATCGCCGACCAACAGAGCTGTGGATGAGGCACGAAAGTCAAAGGTTAGCAAACAAAAACCATGAATGAGTTTGAATGAAGAAACACTTGCATTGATGTTGATCCGGTTCTCCTCGCACTGCTTCCGCAAATCGTCTGCCGACACCTGAATTGATCATCAAGGAACAACACGCTGCTGCCAGTGTGACGATCAAGAACACCAACTTCGCTAAAGCAAACCACATTAATACCAACCATGATGCGTTGGAGCTCCACGCTCTGATCCGGAACTTTAGAAACTTTCCTTGGCTTTTTCTTGGACGAAGCCAGCCTTTGGAGCTCCTTCTCGACCTTCTTCACGGCAGCATCAGTCCTGATATGAAGCGTAAATCCTCGCAGTCGAGAAAAGAAAGTATAACATCTATACCTTTCCATATGATTTTCTATGCCCGACATGAAACTCCGCAACTTCTTCTCGATCTTCGTACTAGTCTGCTTCACGCGAGTGGGAAGAGCCTGTCGCAAAGACTTCCATAAGAGATCTAAAGCAACATTAAAAGAAAAACTGTTCTTCTTACCTGGGAGTGATCGTGTTCTTTCGTAGCTTTGGACAAGCTCTCCATCCTTCCTAACCGAGCAAGAACGTCTCTCAGCACATCCATCTCCAATCCCTGCGCGGCGGAGCGATCGTCCTTCTCCTCTCTCGCCGACGACTTCGACCGTGGCCGCTGCTTGGAGGCCTCGTCGGACTTTTGTAGCATCTCCTCCAATCCATTGAGCTGGCCTCGCAGATCAAACCCATGCTTGTTGCTGGAATCCCTGGGAGTACTTCTCACAGAAGCCGAGATGTCCCTGGGAGTGTTCCTCATCGATCCAGCGTCTTTAAACACAGAAGCATCAAGATCCAGCCAGTTCCTCCTGTAGGGCGAGGAAATCCACTTCCTGGAAGCCAGAAATCCACCGCTCGCATTCTCTGCCGGGAGCTTGGCATCCAGAGAGCGCAAAATCTCTCCCAGATGCCGGATCTTGTCGGGCAGCCGGCTGCTGCTCATGGATGCCGCCATTGGCAGCAGCGCCCTAGGGCTCGCGCTAGAATGCTGCTGGACAGCTGCCGCGGGAAGCCCCAGGGAGATCCATCGCGGATCTTGGACAGACCTGGCCTGGAACAACGGCGGCGGGATAGATTTCGGTCCATCGAGCTCCGCGATGACGGATTTCACCTCCGGCTGCTCTTGCTTGCAAGAATCGTCGCCTCCGGCGGCACGGCCAGGGCTTGCACCACCGATCGCTTGGCGCCGCGGCGAATCGGTCCGGGGCACGAAGCAATCGAGATTGAGCTTCATCGCATTCCCGCTTTTGAAGATCATTCCTTTCACAAAGGAACGACCTTCGGGTGACGTGTCATAGTGTGATTCGCTCTCCTCCAGTGACGGTTATACACGGTGTTCTAGCGAACGAAAGCCTTCGCGCGACACTGAAAGGTCAAGATTCGCAAGACAAAGAATTTGTATAAAGATCATCAAGCGATCAAGAAAGAGCGAGGCAACTAGTTATGTTCTCCGCTTGGTAGCATCTCAAGCGATCGAGCAAACCGCGAGAACTCTGGGGTAAGTGATCGCATTGGCCTTCTCTGTTGTCAATCCCGCGGATCAAGCTTGTCAATCCTGGATTAAGCTATGGCAAGTAAGAAGAAAGGAAAGAGAAAAAACTTCTGAGGAGACGAAACCATTCTCTCGTAGAATAGATCTCGATCGCAGGGACTATGTAACCGGCAATCACAGAGTTCCAGGGAACAATGTCTTTGATTCTCCAGGGCATATAAAATGCAGCATTTCTCAAAAACGGCATCCGCAATCACTCTACTATTCTAATTGGCTCTGCCTATACCCCGATTTTCCCTTCCCCACTAGGGCTTACACATAACTCTTTGGCATGAATACTCGTGTTTCAGTCTCAACACCCAAGTGTTGCTGCCAGCCGCGTTCCTCGCATAGTTTTGGTGGTGGAAGGCTTTGCCATAGGTGCATGGACTCTAGTATTTTTGTAATTAATGATCCATACAAGATTTTCCTAGAATTGAACTGCCCAGCCTTATAAGACAACTTTGGCAATTACCCAAGTGAGGCTTATATATTTCTTGCAAAAATATTTAGATTATAGTTATACAATTGCATTAGAAATTTTCACTGATTCCTCGTGGAGAGCTATTAATAGTCTAGTCTAATCACATTAGTAAAATCGCTGTAAAATCTCTCCACTGTAGTGATACTGAAAATAGATATTGCGCACCAGAGATGTATGAGAGGGTGGCGAGTGAGAAGTTATAATGTTTACTTAGTAATAACAAAGTATAGCTAATCTCCTCTATAAAAGATTCATTTCTGAAAGGGGATGGCCAGATGTTACTTAAAACATTTATTAATAGTACCTTAGAAATGCCAATCCATCATAATAACAAAAATTTTGCACTTACTGTCTTGAGCTCTACTGCTTGAGCTAGCAGCCATTGCAAAGCAATGCAAAACCCTGAGGGTTGGGAGAAAACATGGCACAGACAACAATGCAGCCATTCATTATCTATTTCGTTATCCTTTGTTTAAGAACTAACCTCAGGCAATAGACCACCGTGCATGTAAAGCAGCTGAAAACAACGCACAGAAAACGAACCAAAGCAGAGAAGTTACAAAATCAGTACATTGCTTGGGCTCCCATACTCTTATTAATAAATATAGTTACAAGCATTTAAACCCAAGGCCATTTCATCCCTGCAGATGCTTTCGCCTTCTCTAGAGCTTCTACAGCTCTAGACTTTGCTTCTTCAGCTGCTTCATCCACCACGTCACTAACAAGAGCGTCACCAACACTAGCACTTGAAGTCTGTGGCATTCTGTAGAGTGCTAAGTCAATACAAACTCGGAAACAGGAAAAGCTTACTTGTGTTTCTTTGGAACTTCCTTTACAGCCTCTACTCTTGGCGGCCTGGGCATTGGAGAGGCTGGCGGCTTTAAGTCCTCATACCTGATTAATGTCCATTAATTTCGAGGATAGTCAGCAGCCATAAGAAACGATAAGAAACGAACCTGGCATAAGGTGATAAAGGTCGTGACAATGACACGATTGGTGTTGGACTGCATAGGAAGGAAAAGAAAAGAAATGATCTGCCAGTGCTGAAGTAGAAACTTGTACCTCGGGGTAGCCTTTAGCTCGAGTGATGATTGTGAGCTTCCAGAGTTGATTTTCACGTCCTCGGTGCTTGCATTCCAACGCCAGGAAAGTGCGGCTCTTGCTTTTGCAAGAGCAGCCTCTTCTCTTTCTTTCACTGTGGCAACCGAGAAATCTGGCTGTTCGTTGTCATCTGCTTCCGTCGCAAGCTTTTCTTCGATCTTCCCCAGAGGCTTTTCTGCTATCTTCTCGAGAGGTCCCGGTTCCTCGGCGGCCTTTTGCACCGTCTTCGGAGGCTGGGGCGTTGGAGAAGTTGGAGGCTTCCAGTCGGGATAGCTGCAGAAAAATAGGTACTGTATCAATGCCAAGAATGAAAAAGAAAAACGTTTCTTCACCTGGGATACGGGGAAAGTGGCCTTGAACTGATAATAGGTGGAGTATCCACCTGGATTGCCTCGACCACCTTCTTCTTTGGTTCATCCTTCTCCACCTTCTTCTCTCCCTTCTTCTCTCCAGCAGAAGCTACTTTCCAGGGCCAAACAAAAGCTGTTGCTGCTTTAGCCTTTGCCAGGGAATCTAGTTCTCGTTCCTTCACCCTTTGGGGATCAAACTGCACAGCCTCTGAATCAAGTTTGCCTTTGTCTTCCAAAACTATTTCTTTCTCGGGCGAAGAAGTCTCTGGAGCGCGACTGTCTCTGGAGGCAGTTGTAGCCGCAGCCTCAATTGCGTCCTCAGCTTCTTTTGGAATCACACTGCGGTGCAAAGCTTGACAATCTATATCAAAAGCTGCAAATATACCTGGGACTGTCATCGTCTGTTGCAATGCTATCTTCCGATGGCTCTTCTTGTTTCTCTTCTTGAATCACACTGCAATGCAAATTTCATAAATCATAACTCCAGGGAAACTGCAAAGTTACCTGGATTGATCTTTTCTTGCTGCATCGTTAACTGTTTCTACAGCTTCTTTTTGACTCGCACTGCAAACAAACGAGTTCTTATCATCTTGTTTAGAAAATGTCAAGTACCTGGATAAGATGTCAGAAGCTGACGCTTCACTTTCTCCTTGCACATCTGATGTTGGAGTTTCCGTAATATTTTCGTCCTGCCAAGGCCAACGAAACGCTAGATTCGACTTTGCTTTCAAGAGAGAGGCCTCCTCCCTCTCTCGAGTAGTCATCTCAGCGTTTTCTTTAGTAGCCTGTGGCGCTTCACTTCGTGCTTGATTTGGCACTTCACTGGGTGCCTCGCTCTCACTTGGAGGTTCTGGAGTCGGAGAGCTAGGAGGCTTGAGATCAGGATATCTGTAAAGAAACAAATATCTATGTTACATGTATTAAGAAAACTAAATTACCGGGGATAAGGAGACAGAGTTGCTTCTGTGGAAGGTGCCTCTGCTTCTGCTTCTGCTTTTGCTTTCGCTTCGTAAGACCTGACAGAAAACAAGAATAAGGATGTATAAGAACCAAAGTAGCTTACTTTGCGGTCTCTTTTGGTTGCCAAAACCATCGAAATGGTTGTCGTGCTGGTTCGCTTTCGGTGGTATCCTCCTTCTCCGTCGGTAGAACCTTTGCCTGGGTTTCATTTGCAGGTTCTGGCTTTGCGTTCTCCACCTTTTTAACAGTCTGCTCGACTTCCTCAGTGGGAATTTCAGGCTTACTTTGAAGCTGCTCGGATTTTGTTGCCGGCTTGCCTGGAAGCTCTTCAGCAGCCAAATCTTGTGATGTCTTTGTCGGAACGGGCTTTTGAGGTTTTTTTGTCTGAAGCTGGTCAGCTGTTGCCACTCCTTTTGCTCCTGCTTGAGTTGTTTCTGTGGACTTCTTACTTGGGGGAATCGTTTCCTCCTTCGGTTCATTTTTCACTGATGCTTCCAAAACCTTGTCCGTTACTTTGGATTTGGCAGTCTCTTTGAGGGAAGCGACTTTCTTTGAAGCTTTCGGAACGGCAGTTTTGGTAATGATTTCCGGTGGCTGCGACACTTTCTTTGCCTCCGCCTCCAAAATCTTACGCTTTTCTACCTCGCTCAACCTGTAAAACGGTGTGTGATGGAAGAACATCATACATGATGGTACATTCACTTACGTTTTCCCTTCTTTGGCTGCTGCAAGTAAAGCTTTGGCGACGGCCTCCGCTTTTGCGGCTGCTTCTTGCGCTTCTTGTGCTTTCTCTGACAGTTCGATTCTTTTTCTTTGAAGACTTTTTGCCTCAGCATCTGCAGCCATCTCCTGTTGTTTCAAAGCTGAGAGTTCTTTTGAAATTTTTTGACGTAATTCTTGAGTCTTTTTCGCCTCTACGGCCTTTCTTTTCGCCTCATCCTGAGCTCTCTTCGCTTCAGCGGCTTTGCGTTTCGCTTCATTTTGTGCTTCTTTTTGTTTGAGCTGTTCACTTTCGCGCTTTTCTTCAGCTTTTGTCAATGCCTCTTCATCTTTCCCCTGTAAAAAAGGTTGTAGACTTATGTACGTAACACCGGATTTCAACCGTACCTTTACAGCAGCTCGAGCTGGAGTGCTTTTCCTATCAGGTTCGTCCTTCTCACTCTGGGACGGAATTTCTATCAAAAGGTCTTCCAGAGAACGTAGTGGCGCACTTGTCTCCGCTATTGCTTCCAAAATTTTGTCCTCGGCAAGCTCCAGATTGTTCGCAATGCAAGCTAGCAATTCAGCTACCTGAAATACTGTCAAGACATAATCAGTTAACTGATACAGCGAGATAAATAATCTACCTGAAGCCTTGATACTTGGCCACCAGTAAATGTATCCTTTGGAGCTAGCCTAAGATTGTGAGTTTCTTTAAATGCATCAGTCGGCCGCTCCATTCCTCCCGGTCTAACAATCTGGCACACAGCGAAATCTTCACATGAGCTAACAGAAAAAATAAAGAAACAAAACACATACTGTGTAAGCCAGACCGCTGTCAATTAAAGCCTTCTCCGCTTTTGCTTTCCAGATTAAAACTCCCCAGAACAAACTGGTCGCACAACAGTTTACTCTCGGAATAATTTCTGGGACTTTTACTTACTTGAGTACAGATGCCGGCAAACCAAACTTAGTCGTTCCCAGGGATGTAACAAGAATGAAATGCTTCACCTCTGCATTCTTGGCTGCAAGCACAAACGATTAGCACCAAATCAGTGGAACGTAGCAATACCTGCCGCTATGAGATTTTTCGTTGCTTCGTAGTCGATTCTATACGGCCCAGTCACGTCCAGAACCTCCTTCTCACTGGCACCGATTGCGCAGATGACAACCCCAGAATTTCCTAGAGCAGACTCGATTTCGTCTGGCTTTTCCAAGTCGCAATCTATGATCTCTAGCTGATCGTCTTTTCTCAAACCGAAAAACGCAAGCACTCTGTCCAAAGGTGAGGAGGCTGTGATCGAGCTGATAGTTTCCTGATAGTTCGAAAAATGCAAAGCACATATAGTTTTTTTCATTTCTACAAACATGATAAGAGATGCTCACCCCTAGAATGCTTTCAGCCTTGTCAATGCTTCGCACTCCAGCACGAACTCGCAGTCCAGACTTTACAAGCTCCCTGCCAAACGTTGTGATCAGTTCCACAAAGCGTTTGTCTTCCAAAGAAAAAACTTACTTGACAGTCCTGGAGCCAACATTCCCTGTGGCTCCTGCTACAAACACCACAGTGGTGTCCTTCTTACGAAGCTTGAGCGTCCCGGGCAGCTTGAAAAGTTTCTTGGTTCCAGTCTTCGTATCGTCATCGTCGCGAGCAGTACTGGTGGCTTGAACAACTGGCAATTCAAAACGTAATCGAGCGAGAAGAATTTGCGGACGAACAAACCTGGAATCCATACTCTTTTCCTCGAAACTGATCTCGACAAGAATTTGCGCCCTACTGGATTGTGAATCCGAAGCCCTTGCTCACAATCCAGCAATCTCTCCGACGCACAGCGAACACCAGGCGCCGCAAGAAGAGAACATTGTGGGAGGCCGCCCGCCAGCGCCGCTCCAGACTCCAGCCGGAGCTGCGCCATCGCCATCGCCAAAGCTCTTCACAGCGCGAGCGCCTAGAGCTAGCCTAGCATGAACCAGTGATGACGATAATGCCACGTCCACGTGGCGGCACACCATTGCGCGTTACAAACATGCGTGGCACTGGATTAGGGTACACGTGTTCGCATACAATTCGCACACCTGGCATCATCTCCTAGCTCTGTTACTAACAAAAGATGGCATCCTTGACGAGCATGGGAAACTTGCGATCGTTCATATAGACAAAGCGGATCGCCCTTCGCGGTGGAAGGGGTCCGCCATCGAGAACGAGGCAATCACCCGGCGAAAGGCGGCGAAAAACGCCCGGATCGACGAGCTTGTAGGACGAGAAAGTGCCGCAATCGACATGAATGTCACACAGACTATCCTCGCACTCGTTCACGATCACAACTTCGTACTCGAGCCCGCCGGAGTCCCCCTGACTGATCACAATGTCCCGCTTGGAGCATTCTAAAGAGAAAAAAATGGAGAGGAAAGGATCCGAGCAAACAAACCATGGAAAACTTACCTTTGCTTGATGCTGGGAGAACGGAGAGAAAGATATAAAGCGCGAAAAGCTTGAGCGACGCTTCCACTAGGATCATCTTCCTCATCTTCGCGATGGATCAAGCAAGAAGAGAGAAAAGCTTTCAAGCGATACCTCTAGTTCTCGTAGGTAGAGTCCCCGGTAACTGGGACTCTTTTCTCGTTTTCGTGAAATACCGTATGAACAGTAAGAATGGATAAGCTTATGCGAATTAAATTGCTTGTGTACGAGTTTGTGCCATCTTCCACGTATAATCGTAGAATCCGCTCGGATACACACTCTCGCTACAGTGTGTTTGACCGAAATGGCTTCTAGAGAATGAATCTCTTACCGAGAATGAATCTCTTGCGAGGCTGTAACCTCATTCGCTGCGGCGAAATCGTGTGGCTTTCCCACAGGTATATTTTCGCATGCGAGAAAAGAAAGGATGGCGCTTCTTTGCCAGCTCTTTAGGCTCCTGTGAATTTACCAGCTTTAGTTCCAGAGAAGGAACGAGAAAAACTTACTTTGCATCGAGATGTGCCATGACTTTTCCACCAGGGAACGCGGCCTGTGTCTTCCGAAATGACTCTCTAATCGCGTCCTTCCAAGTCCCAGTTACGTGTAAGAACAGCTCCTCGTTCGCATTCTTCTTTGTTTCAGCCGATGGTTCGTCCATTGGCAACGAGTAGCCGGACAAAAGATGGCCGACCCAGCTTCCTGTGTTTCTGAAAGCAAGACTTAGAACTATCATCAACCGGAAAGCTTGCAAAGCTTTACTCGATCACATCCATGTGTCGAGGAACATAGTGACCGCCTCCAAGCCCAAGTAGAACATTCTCGCCGTGATGTGCTCTACAAGAAGTAAACATGCCGAGGTTATGATAAAGCATGCACAAGCTTGAACTTTCGCACCAGAAAGCTTACTCGGTCCATTTGCCGACCTCGGTTCCTCCATCGAGTCCCAAACCTTGCCAAAAAACCTGAAGAAAGGATTGCATATAGCTGTTGAGGAAATACAAAAGATACAAACTGTTGCAATCGCCTGTGCCGCGTCTAGCCTGCTCCAATATCCATCCGAGCTCCCTTGAAATGTTTCCAAGTAGACAGTCGATGAATGAAACAGGAAATAAAGTGCTTACCGATCTCGACAAACATCGCTGGAGCGTCGACCTCAGGCCCATGGTGCGTTGCCTCAAGCGTAATCTGTGGTAGTTCTGCGAAGTTAAAAACTTGTGAGAACACAAGCATAGGTAGCTCGTACCTCAAACTCGGGAACAAGTTCGTGTTTAACAGCAACTTCTTTCAAGAGTCGCAACCAAGGTGCAATTCTGGGACAAGGCGGTGATGCAAATCCCGGCTTTCCGCCTGCTAGAGGTTTCTCGCTCGGTAGCATGTGTGGAACACCTTCGAAAAAAGTAACAGTGTTGAGAAACAAAGAGAAAGAACGGTGAAGTTTTACCAATTGGATGAACTGTTAAGGATGGTTTTCCTGAAACAGCAGCGTGTTTGCTCATGAAGATTATCTCTGTGACGTGCTCGCCAGAGTGTGATTCCCAACGATGATCGAGATTGTCTTCGCCCACAATTGAGCCTGTCAATTGCAGCAGTCTCACATTTCCCATAGCGAAGTTCTTAAAGCCCTGGACAAAAAATTCTCAGCAAAGAGAAAAGCGACTTGGGTTGGATACCTGCAATGGGCGGCCTTGCGTCCATGAGTTTGGCGCAAAGGAGAGCAAAGCGGAGGCTGGATTGATCGAGGCGGGATCAGTTGTCGTCGCCACAAGCAAAGTCACCATTCTTTTCATTCAAATGCCCTGATTCGCAGAACAAAAAGAAGGAGAGAAAGACTTAAAACAAGGGTGGCATTCAAGTAAAAGAGTTACTCGATAGCTTCCCGATTGACACTCGATCTGTATGCGGTCTCGTCTTGAATAATATGAGGAATTGTCCAGCATCCAAGAAGGTGTTTCGAGTTGCTTCCACCTTTGAAAAAGAAAAGAGTCAAAACTACGCTAGCGCAAAAAATTTCTGTGTTACCTTCTTTTACCGCTTCTTCGCAGCGCTTCTGGTAGCGAGCCGCCAGCCCTGGTTCAAGCTGCTTCACCAGATTCTCGTACTCTCGCTCGACCTCAGATATCAAACTTGCCTGGCGGAAACAAGTTAGAAAATCTTTTTAAAAGAATGAGAAAAGGAAATCTCACAAGCTTTGCTGGAGCTGTCTTTGCACCATACAAGCTGACAAACATTCGCAGAATGTTGAAGCTGTTGTCAACAACGTCTTCCTGAGAAATGCTGTGTTCAAACTAAGTCTTCTAAAAGCACACTTTTTACCTCGTAGTCGTATCTGTTCGTCCAGCAAACAAACACAGTGAGGCCAAGCGAACTTAATATCCAGAGCAAGCTTACATACAGGTCGTCTGAAATTTCCACGAGCAATTCCGATGTTTTCAGAAAGTTGAAATGGACTTCGTTTACCTGAAGAGGAGAAAAGGCTATCTAGTGAAGACGAAGGAAGTCGACTATCTTACCTCTTCGTCTCTTAGCCGGTAGAGCAAAAGATTCAAAACGCGATAGTCGAAAGACTTGAGGCGCACAGCTCGCAAAACATCTGAAGCTGAAATCTAGGAGAGGCTGCCGTGTCAGTAGCAAAAATATCCACGAAAAACAAACGCAAACAACCTCGGAAGAGGAGCTCGAAGAGAGCGCCTTGCAAAGAGTGCGCTCCAACAGCCAGTACTCAACTCCATCTTCCAACTCCTTCTCAATCCTAGAAAAGAAAAGGAAAAAAAAAAAACGCTACAAATCTCGCATCTGTTTTTCCTTCGTACAAACCTCTCAGTAAGAAGATTTTTGTTCATGAGAACTTGTCGCAATGCCAGGAAAGGATCAGCTCCTAAAGCACCATCACCTGATACTGAGAACTTGCTTAGGAATCTTAGAAGAGGAAGCTAAACTGCGTTACTCACATTGGATCGCATTCTCATTCTGATCGTCCAGCTGCAATAGATAGATCTTAGAACCAGAGCAAGGAGATTCACAAGAAGACGAGGAAAGAACTAAAATACCTGGTAAATAAAAGCCTCGACAAACATAAGAATTGGCAAGTGCTTGAAAACATGGCGCTCGTCCAATCCATGGAACATGAAATAAGATCTGCACTGTAAGAGACAAGATTCCAGCGTTTGCTCATAGGATTCAAGCTGCGCACTTACAAAATCTTCCAGTGTGGAACGAGCGCGCTCCATCGCTCCAAGGGATACCTGGGCCATTTGCATAAAACCCTAGACTATGAAGAAGAAGATGAAGTGGAAGCACCGCTCAAGTTGTTAATGCTTTATCTCTTGAATTGCGTTCTTCCGGCTTCAAGCGAAGGTGTTTCCATTTGTTTGGGATCCTTTCCTTCCCTCACTTAGAAATGAAGAGCGCGAATGTTTTTTGAAAATTTCCTATTGACTGACTCTATTGTCGAAGACGATCTCGACCATCTTTGAAAGTCACACTGTGGCGAGCGTGAGACGACGGAGATTGTCTTTATGAGCAAACACACTGCTGTTTCAGTCAAACTATCTCTAACAGTTCATCCAGTTGGTAAGCTTCACTTTTCTTGCTCGTTAGTCTCAAAAGCTTAACTTTTTTCGAAGACGACCGAGCGAAAAGCCTCTTGTTGCCGTCAAGCATGCTAATATTTCTCGTTAAGTTTCAGAAATACAGAAAAAGATTACGCTTGAAGGCCGGAAATTGGGAGTTTGTATCTCGTCTATTTGGTCAACAATTTTCTGTTTTTTTTTTTTTCCACGTATTTTGGGACTGAAGGAAGGAAGCTTTCTGGTGCGAACATCCAAACTTGTGCAATTCTTATCATAATTTTAGCAATTTCCTGGTCTCACAAGAGCTTGCAAAGAAGTGTCAGCCTTTCTTTAATCGCAACGAAAATATCTGTTGGGAAGCCACACGATTAAAAGTCTCTAGGAGCCATTTCAGTCAAACCCACTGCTGTGAGAGATTTTACGATTATACGTGGAAGGTGGCACACCTCGCAGAGGAGATTTAATTCGCGTAAGCTTATCCATTCCAGAAAACGGTGTTTCACGTACATATCCCAGATTACGGGGAGACGCAGCCTTAGGATAAATACTCGTGTTTCACCATAAGAGAGTAGCTTCTTCTTCTTCTTTCTTGCTTGATCCATCCCAACGATGAGGATGATCCTTCGATTGAACTGCAGTCTCCTTACTTTTGGTTGAGAGCCAGAAACAGAAGGGGACCCCAAGAAGATCTCAGCCCCCTTATAAGTAAGTTTTTTTGATCTGTAATTCCTTGCCCTCTTTGTTGTGCTGGAATTTTGCCATATCTCTCTAATGATACAACTCGTTTTCAGTGTGGTCCTGACTCCTGACGATCCAATCGACGAAGAAATGCACAGTTTTGTGAAAAATACACCGGTGCTGTTGAATGGGTTTTTTGGTGCTTTTATAAGTTCCATAGCTAGCTCTCTTGATACAACAACTTACTTTCTGTTTTTCTTTTCCTCTTTCGTTGACGACTTATGGAGTTCTGGGCAGCACTTTTCTGGAAGCTCTACACAGTCCAACTCTCAGCTCGATCAAGAAGTGAAAACAAACATGAAACCAACTCTTCAACTTTCTCACGAAAATCTGTTTGCTTTGTCTTCCAGGACCAAAACTGTAGCTCTTTACAGATCCATGTGCCAGAATTGGTCAGCAGGATTCTCACAAACGTGGAGTGGCACCTTGTCTTCACAAAAATATGATTCATATTGTCTATTTGGATGAAATTTGTTTAAATGAGCATTGTTTATTTGCTTGAGCTTCAGTTATTATGAATGGTGCTAAGTTAAATTTTTGACTTTATTTTTGGTATAGATTGGTTGTGGTATAATCATGCCAATGAAGTTTTTCCTTTTTGTCTTATATTTTTTCCATTCCTCTTACTTTTGTTCTTTTTCATCCTTTTTTTATACTTTTGTTTCCATCATTTTTGTCTTTTTATTATTTCTTTTATATTTCTATATTACTCTTTTATTCCCTCTTTAAATCCATCGGATAAATTTTTATTTTGCAATTGTTGATTGGCTCACAAAAGAAGTATTTTAATCTCTTTGAATTCATTTATCGTTTGGGGCCAAGATTACAACACATTATCCTATTTCATGTTCAATTAAGGTTCTAGTCACTAAAAGAAATTAAAATTCTAATAAAAAAGATGTTGGTGAAAGGTGTTATTTAAAAGTCATAAAGTCTTTAGATATGTCAACTTCATCTTGTTATAAAGCTTGATAGGAATATTTACTTTTGTATTGACTATCGGCTGTTAAATTAATTGACTATCTTAGATATATATTTTATTCCTCATACCATTAATCTTCTAGATTGTCTAGAGAAGAAGTATTAATTCACAAAATTAGATCTTGTTTCTAGGTATTAACAAGTGTTAATAGCTGAGAATGATGTCCTCAATACTATTTTCGTACACTATTAAGTTTGTATAAATTCTTAGTGATACCATTCAAATTAAACAATGTTCTAACAACTTTTAAGTGGGTGATGAATAAGGTTTTTTGTGATATGCTAGAGATAACTATTAACTTTATTAATAATGTCTTGATGCACTTAGAAGGGATGTGGGAGGAGCATATCTATAATGCTCAAAAGGTGTTAAATCCATTATGGGAAGTTAATTTACAGTTAAAGTGGTTGAAATGTGTATTTTAGTCTAAGGACATAACTTATTTTGCATACTGTATTTCTCATAAGGGTTTGTAAGTTAATCTTGATAAACGTGTAGCTATTTTAAAGTTTCTTACTTCGAAGTATGTGAATGATGTGTAACACTTTCTGAGCAAGGTGCAATATCTCAATTATTTTGTTGATCATCTTTTTTATCGCATTGCATCATTGTGAGCATTGCTGAAGTCATCAAAATTATCTTTCATTTGGTTTAAATACTGTGAATAAGCATTTATAGATCTCAAAAAGCTATTGATAACTCTTCCAATTTTAGTGTGTCTTGACTATATTTGACTATTCATTTTGCATGTGAATGCTTCAGATATCAATGTTGAGGGTGTCTTAATGGAAGAAAGTACTAATGTGCCTGGTTAACATCACCCCATTGCGTATACTAGCTATACATTACAATTAGCAAAGGTGAACTAATCCACAATAGAGGAGTGTTTAGTAGTAATTTAGGGTTTTGATAAGTTTTATATTCTCAAACATTGCTTAAAAGTGATCATGTTGCGGTTACTTCATTATGAAAGTAGATGGTTATATTGTTCGGTGGGTTTTGAAACTTTAAATATATAATTTCGAGGTTATTTATCACCTAAGGAGTTCTATAGTTGATAAAAATACCCTTTTTTGAACTTTTCTTCCTTCTTTGCTCTTTTCTCCTATTCCTAAAAAACTTGTTGTTCTAGCATCTATAAATTCAACACAAAGATTCCATGTTATCAAAGGTTATATTTGATATTTAATGTCCATAAGGTGTGGAGTAAGATTTACTTTCTCTTATCGAGGTCTATAAGTTTAAAAGGTTAAATCGTGGATTTATAGGCTTTGTGAGAGGTTTGAGAATCTTACATTATTTGTTGATGACTTGCCACTTTGGCATATATATTCTTAATACTGCTTTGAGGTCAACCTTTTTTATTTTGTTGGGACTGATCTTGATGATCATTTATGGTTAGTGGTACCTTTGATATTTATTCCATGTTTTCTCCATATTTATTATGACTTTTCTATTCTAGATAGGCATATGGGACATTTATCTGTGACTAATAAACTATGTAGATCTTTCTATTAGCCAAAGATGCAATATGATGTTATTTGAAATATGCATAATTATGTTTGGTGCCAAGCCCATCATATTTCTATTTATGCTATGGAAAGATGGTTGGAGTCAATTACAAGTTTTTATCTATTTGAGTTGGTAACGTTTAATATGATAGAGCCTTTTCTACGGCTGACTATTGATAATGAGTATGTCATTATTGCTTTTGACCACTTAACTCATTAGGTGGAAGTTGATACTCTTGCTAGTACATTAGTAATTACTATTGAGTATTTCCTCCTCAATTGAATGGTATTTTAACATTCCTATTTGAAACAAATTCCTTCAGATAATGGTCTAGGAATAATTATGAAATATGTGAACTTTTAGTATTCAGATTGGGATGGTTATTTATTGCCTTACATATGTATATCACAAAGGTATAGAGTTTTATTGGTGCTTCACCATATAAATTTTTATATGGTGATAATCTGATATTACCAACAAAGTTAAGTTCAAACAATTTGTTTAAACCTTCAAAAGGATGATGGCAAGGTATGTGAACTTTTAGTATTCGGATTGGGATGGTTATTTACCATCTCTTTAATATACATATGTCAAAGTGGTACAAAGTCTACTAGCGTTTCACTATATAAACTTCTATATAGGCATGATCTAATATTGGCAATAAAGTTGAGTTTACATTAATGATTACCACAAGTTGCCAATGTTATATCTTGGGATCAATATTTAACAAGCATTCTTCCATTTGTCCAAGGAAAGCCTATTAAACACTTAGGTCGTGTACAAGTGGAACAATAACGGTGCTGCAACTCTTATTATCATCCAAATGCAGAATATAAAGTAGATGACTTAGTGATAATCTATCTTCCCTATCTTATAGTACATAGTTTGTCTAAGGAGCTCTTTGATCAATAGAAAGAACCATATCAAATATTGCAACAATAGGCCCATCCTCTAGAAACTATGTATGTGCAATAATTAAAATGCTTTATACAAAGGGATCAAGAACAACTGACACTATTTACAAATCCACCACTAATGTTCCTTTAAATCTTAGCCCATTCACTTCCATCCTTCCAAAAAGAGGGGATGATATGAAGTCGCCTATAATATTGTATATTAATAATAGTGTAATGGGATTTTGATAGCTATTTAGTTGGTTTGAATTTAGACCACTCACTCTTGAATATAAGTTAGGGTTTTTGGGCTAATGAATATACACATTTCTATATTCCCACTCATAATACTAAAATAAATAATATGTTTAAAATAGTTTATATTAATAAACCCGCTTACTTAATAAGCTAGACACGCAAACACTAGCTACCACGAAGATGGAAGGCCAAATACTCTCCTCCACCATATGTGAGCATGAGGCCCAAGTAAGAAATCACTTGGCTTCCTATTCATTAAATGGCTAGGTGCATCTGCCATCCACAAACTTCTTACTAAAGAACTCATCCAAGGAAGCC